ACGTTAATTGAAAGGGACATTCTATGATCAAATCTATCTCCCTGACCTCTTTGGGACTACCCAAAATATCAAAGTGTACTAATGAGAGCATTGTCCAAAAGTCTGTTGAACACTTATAGTCATAAGGCATCAACCACCTCTCTAGGGAGCTTTTTTGCAGTGTTTGACCACCCTCATAGTGCAGAAAATTTTCCTAATGTCCAATCTGACCCTCCCATGGTGCAACTTTGGGACATTCCTGCAGGTCTTGACATCATCTCCAGGAGCAGAGCCCAGCACTTCCCTCTGTGCTTCTCTACCTCAGGAAGTTGAAGAAAGCAATGAGGTTGCCTCTCAGCCTTCAGGTCTGTCAGACCAGGAGTACTCAGCCTCTCTGCATAGGACATGTTTTCTATCCCACTTACTGTTCATACATACATATATGGTGAAATATTACAGAAGAACAGGATGCAGTATAGAGGAATAAAGGGTGAATAAGCAACTGGAACAGGTTGCCTGGAGAGGCAGTGGCATCTCTTTTCTTGAAGATATTCAAAAGACATCTGGACACAATTCTGGACTGTTCTGTGATTTTATGAATCTGTGAAAGGCATACTTGGTAAGAGATGGGTCACAGGTTAGCACTGAAGAGACCATGACTATAAATAATTAATGAATGATCAGTTAAAGAAATGCAAATATGAACAACATTGTTTTCAGAAATATCAAAAGGTACTTGTAAGTAGTAAATTCGGACATAACGTAGACTTACAGAATCATAAAGAAAAAACATGTTACAAAATATTATTAGTAAGCATACTGAAGTGACACTAGCAGACCCTAATGTGAGGAAGAAAAATATGTAGTGTTAATACCATAGTCCTCTCTGTGAAGGATTTGGGATCCAAGTGATTTGCCATATAATATCACATATAATATACACAAAAGGCTCTTGAAAGGCAATAGAAAGATGTGCCTAACACCAGAAGAATGGATAGTAGCTTAGGAAGTGTCTGCAACAATTCTAGCTCTACTATTATTGAGGGTGTTCTGGTTTGGCTCTGGTTTGGTTGGTTTGGGATTTTTGGGTTTTATTTTTGGAAGGGTGAGATTGTATAATGGTATCCTTTTATTGTTGTTCCTTATTTTCTCTCTCTCTCTCTCTCTCTCTCTCTCTCTCTTTTAATTAACTTGTTACAGTTAGATATTTACTAACTCTTTACTTAGACAGGATTTCAGTTATACTAACAATGATCTCCTGGTTTCATAGGTAATTGTTGCTTCCATTCTGCGCACAATCATTTTAAGCAGAAGTTACAATATTGTAAATATATAATTCTACTGCAGCGTGGAACCTTTACTGAGATCCTATGGAGTACATATATCAGGTTAAAGAAGTCTCTTTGCTAAAATGGTAAATTAGAATCTTATCTCCTAAAATGTCTCTAGATTAATCTCATGGTTTTCAGTACAGATCACACGTATAAGGTGAAATAATGAAAATGCCTAGCTTTTATATAGTGCTTACGTCAAGCAGGTCAGTAAAGAATACATCATTTGCCCCTTATAAGCAAGAATCAACAGGCATGCAGACTTGGAATCATTAGCATTTTGGTGCCAGAATTTCTATTTTCTATGCACTACCTGACACTAAAGGTTAGAACTTTATAGATATTTTGCAGAAGAAACCATAACTGAATTTGATGGCTTTTCACGTAAGTTTTACTAATCTGACAGTGAAGTTATCATATTTTTGGCTATAGATATGCTACTACATTCAGGATCCAGTCCAGAGCTTGCTGAATTTGTTGAAATCTCTCTCAAGAAGTAAGTAATGTGATTCAAAGACCATACCATCCCTTTAAAACTCCCATGCAATCCTCGTCTTTGTTAAAAATAGATACATTCAAGTATTCTTAAAGGATGTGGATTTCCTATTAAAAATTTTAATAGAAATTATTGAATAATATGTAAAGGAAGACTTTGGCATGAAATCTGATTCCTTTACAAATTCTAAAAGCTTTGGCTTTTGTGCTTTATTTATGATCCTAATTTTGTTGTTGTTGTTGCTGGTTTTTTTTTAAAGAATGAAATGCATGTAGTTCATGAACAGAAACTGAAGAATACAGAGCTAAACTCATAAACCAGGTTTAAGTTTCATCTATGCTGTTCACATTGCCCAAAGGGCTTGTAAACATATTACAGGTTGCTCAGTAGTGATCCTTATGCTGATACACGTGTCAAATTGAAGGCTAGAGACACACAAGGCAAGCAGTATGACACTGAGCAGAGGTGTCAGACACTCTTACAGTCCATCATGTCGTTGTAACCCTCCCCTTTCTTGGCACCTGCCTTAGTGCTCCACATTCGCTGTGCACATTGGACTGCCTGCAAACTGCTCTGGGGTCACCATCAGAACATTGAAATGATCAGACATTTTTCCTCTCCCCTCTTGCACAGCTGCACTGTAAATGGAAAAATATGAGACACACTCCCCATGATCTGCTCCAGCCGGGGCAGTCAAGCAAGAAAAATGAAAGGAAAAAACCTGCAAGCAAATCCAAGAGAGCATTACCAAAAACCTGTCAGGGCTGGGAGCAGCCATTAAACAAAAGGACTGGAATTTATCATGACTAATAGACCTTTCTAAAGTGGAATGTTGCTGAAACTCAAGTTTTGAACAATTACTGGAAACACCTTGAGAATAAAGTTGTGATGGTCATAACGTTCATTAGAAAACAAAATATTTTATAGCAAGCAATAAATTTGAACACAAGGATATCCATTTACCCAGGTTTATACTACTCTGCACTCAATAGGGTAATGTTGCTAGTGTCTTACTCATAACTTTTTTATTTTCTGCAGCTATTTCAATCTCAGTCTTCAGTAAAACCCAAATGAGTGTCTGTCACTTTTTACAATCAATGTAGTAGAAGTGCTTATCTGACAGTTCATTTCTCTACAATTTGAAATTAAGATCAGCCTTTGAAACTGAAAAATCGTGTCTCTTGATAAAATTATGTTGAACTACTGGGGCTTGCAGAAATTTTCTTCAAACAATTTATCTTGCATAACAAGGCAGAGAAATATTTGTTTTGATCTTTTTCTTTGTTGTTTTGAAAAATATGCTGACATTGATATTAGCAGGAGGAAAAAAAAAAAGGAGTAATTCTAATTTAGGAAATACAGGGTTGGAAAACATAAATATCCAATATTTTATCTCCTCAATCTAGACATAAAATAAATCAGTAGTCTATTACTTCATACCTTTAAATAATCAGCTAATGTAATTAAATCCCTTTGGTTGAAAATGTTTCTCAGATACAGATCTTTTGTATATTTACCAAACAGAATCTAAATACCCCAGATTTGTACCAATTTTTTTTTGTTTGGATCTATATTTATTCAAAATGCATTTTGTAAAAATACAGTTTGTGTATTCCAAATTCTATTTTCTCTCTCTTTTTTTTTTTTTCCCTCACAAATGGTGCATTAGCTCTGATGCACAGAGTAGACCATTACAGAAAATATAAGAATTAGAAAGAAATTTTTTACTCACATATAATTTCATCACAGGTAGGAATGAACTGTAGCTGGAAAATAATTAAGTTCTAGGAAGACCAGCATTTTGCATACTTTTCTATTTCTGAATATGAGAAATTTAGAAATACATATGCAATCCTGTGTGTAAAAAAATAAAGTCTCATAATGAAAAAAATTGATATTGCAAAGACACGTGTTTTAAAGTGGAGAGCACCAGATTCACAGCTCTTCATGAAATACCCTTGTTTAGAAGATCAGAGCGAGGTATGGGACTTAGAGAGTTTGCTTTGTAGGCTACCATGTGATTAAATGTACAGTCATTGACTCTGGCCCAGTAGCTCCTGCTCCCAGACATAGAATTGGATGTGTCATAGTTTAATATAATAACTGTCAGGATATCTAATGTGCATAGGAATAACTGAAGCAATTGGAAGCCTTCTGAATTTCATTTCAGCACTCTAGTGCTGAAGGGAAATATCAGGGAACAAAGAAAGAAGTGCAAAGGCTGTTCTGGAATGTGATAATCCTTGCATATTTGCTCAAATAGAGAACCTCCCAAACTGTACACTGGAAGAAGATTTCGTAGAATATACTTGCAAATATCTAAGTCTTCCTGGAATAGTATGCTAGCTGTGTGGTTCATCTCATCAAGATATTTTTTCAACATAAGGATAATAGGTGACTACAAGAGGTGGGTAATGGGGAACACTGACCATATGCATTGCTAGATCCAAATACATCCCCATAGGCATGAGAACAGCCCTTATTTTGGACTTCCCACAATAATTCAGTTTAATAAAAGTTCTACATGATGCAGAAAGTGAAGAATGAGTTGAAAGACAGTTCATGTGAGAAGGAAAAATTGTTAAGATCAGGGAAAGATATGTCACAGAAAAGGAAAATACACAGAAATATTCAACACCAATACTAACAATGTGGAGACATCTGAATCATTCTCTGCTTGTTCATATGTATTTTTAGTTATACACTGTCTTTTCGTACATTCTCCTCTGTCTGCAGTTCAACAGCCACACACTCCTGCTGTAAACTGATTTGTCAGCTGTGCTTTGTGTACTGGAAAGTACATTTCAGCAAGTGCAAAGTATCCCTTCCAGAAGCTGTGTTCATCCTCTTTGTATTATTTAAGTTTTAATGCACATACTACCAAGGCACATACATTATTGAAAAGATGTTCTCACCAACACTGACAACACAGTTCTTTAAACAACAACAACAACAAAAAAATAAATAAATAATAATAATAATAATAATAAAAAAAAAAAAACCCAAACAAACAAACAAAAATAATTCATGATATTCTACATCTTGCTTTCTCTAAGAAGCTTAAGTGAAACAGAATTAATGCACAAATCCAGAACAAAAGATCAGTACAGGGTTTAACATAAACCAATTTGTACTTGTATACAGACATACATAGCATATGCATGTATATGTTTTTATATTTATGTCTGTGTATCTAACATATGTGCAAAAATTTTGAGTGTTGCAGTTGTAAGATAAAGGGCAAATCCCAAAATTGCAGTCAATTGAAACACAGCTTTTTTTTTTTTTTTTTTCCTTTTTCTTCTTTTTTAAGTCTTAAATACAAACAGTTTTAAATGTTATTATCTTGCGAGTCAGCAAGCAGTGATCTATCCTCTAAGCCAATTGTGCCAGAAAAAAAATTGACATGGTATAGTAAAAACGACATTAAGACAAGAGAAGTTGAGGGTTGGTACCTCTGTGTATTTTATAGTCTGAATCCAGAACTTATAGGGAATGATAATTAAAAGACTACAAAAAAAAGTTAAACTCAAATCCTTCCCTGCATTGATAGTCCCACTGTTGTAGGCCTCTGAGAGGATGAAGTGAAGGTACCTTCATGGGGTACTGTACAAAACAAAGTTCCTGCATAACATTGAAGAAGATCTGTAATTTCCTGCATCCTCTCATGAAATATTCCAGCTCCACTCTGCCATCTTCTTGAGTCAGCAAGGAAAAATGACAAGACTTCAGTTACTTCCCTCCTTTTCAGGACACTTCGTTTTCTGAGAGACATCTAAGTGAACCAGCTGACTTAACTCAGAAGCCAATTTGTTGTATCTGATTGAGGAAGAAGAAATATTGGTCCCATTCTCTATGTGCAGTTACTGGTAATAGTCTGCAATAACCACAACCTACAAACATAAAATTCCTATAGCCACAAATCCTAGATTACTCAGATTTCAGAGAAAAACTTTCTAGCTGAAACAAAATGCTGAAAAAATAATGAATTTAACCTAAAATTTATAGAAAAACTCTTTCAAATTTTTTTCCTTAACTTGATCTTCTTATATTTTAATTCTTCTGCTAGGAAGACGGTTGCTATAATGTTAACAGAAATACATTTTATTTACCCTAATGACTCTATTCCATTTTCCACTTGTTCTTAATTTTGACTTGTACAGAAGAATGCCAAAACCAAAGCAGAAATATATAGAATTATAGTTAACTGTAAATTTGCCATGAAAGCAGGTATCACATAAAGACAGTAGACTATTCCTCAAAATTTTCACAGATGACAAAGTATTTCAGTGCAGTGGGAGCTCTCCAAACAAACATCATGACCAATTAGATCTGAGAAAACCATGAACCTGATATTACTGTCTGTAATCAGGCAAAAAAGAAATGATTGTCTTCAAGATACACAATGAAAATGTAAGTGAAAAGCTGCATAGTCTTATTGTTTGTGAATAACAAATAAAATGCATGCTTAGTAGGGATATTTAATAAGAAACACTTTAATACCTTTAAGATGTTTTTTTTAAGTACTCAATCACATAATATCAGAATTACTGTGATAATTTAGAATATCTCCCCTTTCTCCATGTATTTACCTTTTGAAGTCAAACATGCTTGTCATCAGCTAGGAGTAGTGGCTAGTATTGGTGAGAAATTATTTTTTGAAAAACAATAGAGTTAATATGCTGGGGTTTTTTTTTGTTTGTTTTTTTCAGTCCTTACCTATAAAGAAACACTAACTCTCTGCTTGAAGAAATTACATTTGCATTAAAATGTACTACGGTATTTGACTTCACACCAACTCTCAAGTTTTCTTAACATGTTTCTTTAATCAGGAAAATTCTTAACATTTGCATTGTAAGTCAGAGAACAATGAATTACACATTGGTTTCTGAACTGTGAATGCACAAACCAGTTTGTGAAGGCATACAAGATTAGCTTTACAAGAGTGTCATCTAAATCATATGACTTTAAGGCCAAGGCAAAGCTTTAAATTCAGGTGAGTGGGTTAGAAATTTGGAAGGCCTTATAACTAGAAATATAAAGCTATTCCAGTTTGTTAGTCATCTTTTCAAATACTACTGAAGTTTTGAGAAAGCATTGTGAATTTCCTGTAAATAGGAATTTTATTGCATCTCTTTTGAATCTGTTCATTTAAGGGGCTATAGGCATTTTTGAGAATTTACTTGTTTTGGAATATTGTATATTTATTAGAGGAGGATCTGATCTGAAAAGTTTGAAAAATTGCAGAGGAAATATAAAATTATGTGAAAGGGCATGTGAGTCTTTCTTCATATCCAAAAAAAATGTCAATAAAAAGGATTATTACTGTTTCCTGTACATCATTACTACTATATATCATCTTCAGAGAAAATAATGTTTTTCCTTTATCAGCAATTTGTTTTAAAGTATAAAAACTAGGTCATTTCATTCTTTAAATATATTCTTCAAATACCTATCACAAAAAATTTTTTATCTGTGTGATTATCTGCTCAAAATTTATGAGTTAAAATAATTATTTCAGTTGAGGAATTCAACATTTTCATTGTATATTTCTGGCAATTGTGCTTTTCAAGAATAGTCACGTTCATTTTAGGACATGGACTGTTATTCATCACAGAAACATCTTGCTTTTGTGCAGAGAATGTTAAAGCTGTAAATACACCAGTTCGAGTCAGATTTTCCATGACAGTTTATACATCTTCAAGTTATTCCACAATTAGAAAAACAGTATAGTGTAATCAGCACGATTTTCATTCTTCTGTCTGCTTTCTCCATTTGAATAGACCCAATGCACAGGGTCAAGACTGTTCTTACTCTACACGAGATGCCCCTCAGTGTATCTATAATATAAACTTTAAGGAATAAAACTTTTAATGCAAATTCATGCATGCATTTTTGCAGTTACATGTTATCGTTTGTATGGAATTCTAAGCAGAAAATATGCATACTTGTATGTAAAAAATCTTCTTGCCATGCTCAGTGACCTTTTTGAGAATTTTAAAAGCTTATATATCTGTGTCTTTGTAATGAACACTGTTGCTCTGTTTTATATTATTATTTTACCTCAGTTTCTGTGAAGTATTTGCATTTCATTTCACCACTACCTTTTTGTAACAGATACCAAGTTTATAAAGCTTAGGCCTACTGTTTTACTTGGTTATTTCTTGGACACCACTCAGTGTAACATTATATAGTGTATCATACTGGATGTTTTTAATAATCTTTCTGATATATGTTTTGTTCCTATAAATATTTGGATTATAATTGAAATCATTGGAGCAGGATTCCACTATAAGTGTTCTAGCTTGTTTTAAGATTGCAAATTATTTTTAAATTGTCACCACATTTCATTTGAGTCTTCACTGACAGTGGAGTTTCAAGTAGAACAAAAATATTTATTTCATACTTTTATGACTAAACACACCCTTTCCTTATGGCGCCATTCCTTGTCTATATAGAAATATTCACTTTAAAGTGTAATATTGAATAATATTGAGTGAAAATTATTGAAAAATACTCTTCCTTGTACTTACTTTGAGAGCTTCTTGAGGCTAAATCCTTGGGAAAACCCTTGGAATTAAAGCACAGATAACTGAACTAACAAATAAATAGATATAATTATAGTTCCCTATTAAGAGAAATCAGTAGTGTGGACGACTAAAATATTAACTGATGAGGCAATCAGTGGTCTTTCTCCTTACTTTTCTTCTTTTTTTTTCTTTTTGAAGAAGGGAATATAAAATCATTAAATCATTGCTTTTTTTTTTCTTTTCTTTCTTTTCTTTTTTTTTTTTTTTTTTTTTTTTTTTTTTTTTTTTTTACAGAATACCTAAATGGCCACCAGTGCTTATATATTTCTGTTACTTCTATTCTCCACCTTCCCATGGTAAGAAAAGATAACTTAGGTACCAGTCTAGCTCAGGGGAAATACCAAGTTCAGGAAGTGTAGTGAATGATGGAGGAAGTGGTGTACATGTAGATGTATCGTACAGCATCTACTGGTAGTCTTCCATGTCTTTCAGGGTTAAGACAGAGAATGAGATAATTCACATAAGAATTATGACATTCGTCAATGTTGAACTCCTAAACTCTAAAGCAACACAGCGTGTAACATTCAGTATTTCAGGTTCTGTCTAAGTCAAAATTTAGTTACTGTATATGTAACTATTCTTTCCCATGTACCTAAAGCATAACTTTATACATGCTGCATATAATGCCAAATATTAGGTAGAAGGTATACAACAATTTATTAAGGCTTATGTCTGAAAAATTCTGAAAATTCAAGAAAAATTTTGAAGGGAGAATTGTAAAGAAAATCACATCTCATTTCAAGGAAAGAATAAATAGGCAAAATATAGATTTAAGACTGTCAATGATGAATGTCAAGTGTATTTACCGAATGACTATGCATATAATGGGTCCTAGCTTCCACATGTAATTATTTGTTGTAGATGTGTATAGTTGCTTAACTGTCCCCATCAATTGGAAATACTGGATTACAATCTGATCTTTACACCAATTTCTTATATGCATATCAAAATGAGGTAACCCTATTACCATTAAATCCGAGAAATGGAAGTAACAAATTATTTTTAACAGACAGAAGATAAAAATATTCATTCTTTAGCATCTGAAAAGCATGGGCATACAATAAAACATTTGAAAAAAATGTTCCAGGAATGAAAGAACAGAATTTTTGTTTTTCTATTTCCCCTCTCACATGCTCACATTCTTAATCAACTTGTTCATATAAATACAGCAGGATTGATGTTATTGTTTTTTAAGTAACTTTTTACTGAATATGTCAACAAGATAATATATAGTGTATAGCGAGGTTTTGAAGTTAACAATGCGTGCAACATGGCATATTGCAGAAAACAGATAATGCAGACTTCAAATCATCTAATTTTCTATGTTAAAGACAGAAAATATACCATACACAGAACAGAATCATGTATGCATGTCGCAGTTAAAATCAGTTTTTTGAATCTTCAGATATCTGGGACCAAGTGATCATAGCAATTTATTTAGTGGCTTGTTTCTGAGAGGATCAGCAGTCAGTTGTCATTGGGCACAAGTCCTACATAGTCCCTGTATAATAAAAGCTTGTCAGATCACTTTTGGACTAGTTTTGCAGAAGAAATACTAGCCAGTGTTCTTTAAAAGAGCAAGGCATCCTATGCTTTACTTAAGTTTAATGCCAAATAGTTTGATACTGACTGTATTATCATTTGAGATAGAGAGTGCCCAGTTCAGTAGACTTCAGGGGAGGGGTAATCATCAGCTTCCTAGGATTATATCTGTGGAAGAGAGCACCAGGCATTATTTAAAGAGACTTAAAGCCAGTAATGCCTGGGTTTGGCACTCATTTCTTTTTTTTTTTTTCTTTTTTCTTTTTTTTTTTTTTTTTTTTGTCATTTGTTTTCCTACTGAGTAAAACAATTATTCTCATGCTCTAAAGAAAAAAAAAATATATATATCTCCATGTTATAATTTATGGTGAAGAAGTATTATAGATGGGGATTAACCACTTCACTGTCAAAATCTGAGGCAATTTTCCTTTCAATATCATCAATAAAGTGCCTTATGTAGACCCTTCTTAAAATATAATATGCATAAAGTTATTTTCCTTGTAAAATTAAAATCAATACTTTTCTTAGAGGAAGAAATTTCTCTCTTAAAAAGAGAAAATGATTGAGAGAAAAGATATAGTTGAACTACTCTAGTAGAAAATAGCATAAGCTATTTAATTTTTTTTAACATCACATTCATTGTATTTTTTTTTTGACTTACAGAAAAAATTGCTAATATTTGAAGTCAGTACTAAACCAATGTCTAAATATTCTTATGAAGAAATTCAATAATAGTTTCCAGGAAAAACTTTTTAACGAAAAGTCCATGCATGCCTCAGATACGCTTTTTGTTTGTTTGTTTTTTATTTTTGGGTTTTTTTTTTTTTGCTAACAAACTACATGCAAGGGACATTTGTTATAATGATAGAATCTGTGAAAACAAGGACCTGTTTGTAAATAAATCTTCAAAAGGAACTGTAGCACTGAACAAAGTTGTGTTGAGATACCAGTGTAACATAATTTCACTTAAACTTTTTTTTATTTCACTCATCAATGTTATCTGTACACTTAGGTCAATTACTAGCAGTTAACAATGGACAATGGGTGAGATGTTGTCTGTAACCATTCATTTGTCCCCACATTCAATGAACACTTACAAATAAGGATAAAGAATTCATCACTTTTGAGTTTCTAATGAGTTGTATGTGTACACATTTGGGATTTCTGTTCCCTTAACTAGCATCTGTGGTCAGACATTTCTACTAAGTGAAGATGGCCCCACTTTCACAAGCCTAAGGAAAAAGGTTACTCCAAAAGATCATTGTCCACTCTTGCCTCTGATTTTTTTTTTCCCCAAATCTAATGAAAACTCCTCAATATTCTTATCCAGATGATAGAAAATGAAGAGTGTGTGGCTGACACTTTGAAAAGTCCCCAGCTCTGCTGTAGGCTGAAATACATGAATTGTTCTGCAGCTGGAAAGCAATTACAATAGGAAGAAACACTCTTCAAATTCAATGTATGTCTTATTAGATTATTAAGAGTACAATTGTGAATTTCCTTAAGTAGTTCTCCCATGGCTATCCTTGAATTTTGTTGTAAGTAGCTTTCGGATTTTTTTCTGAAGTGTACTTAAAAAGAATCTTTGTCAGTATCCCTTATAATTATATATTTTCTTCTTCAAACAGAAAAGAAGCTTAAACTACATTATCTTTAATATTACTTTGATTTTTTATCTAGGCAAGCCAGTTATACTCTGCACATATATATATACATTTCATCATCTGAGATCAAACCACACATTTTATGAATGTCTTCAATTTCTATCTTATTGGAACAGTGACCACATTTGTTGTCATTTTTTGGGCTTGTTTGCCACATTTTGGGCTTGTGATTTTTCACTTAGAGTAAAGCTGAATTCCCTGAATAAGAAATTTGCTACAAGTAAGGTGCCTAGCTCATCCTAAAACTATGGTATCCTGAGGCCTACAACAGAAGATGTTCAAAAAGGAGGATAAAGATTCCTCTAGCATCAGTCATCCAAGTATGAAAGGCTACCATGTGCATACATTCAAAAGATGCCTTTTGAAATCAAACTTACTGCTTGTTATTTCTGTGAAATCATATGCTACATCCATACCCAGTAGGAATCCCAGTCTACTTAATCTGAAACTCTTACATGTCCATCATGCAATGGAAGTGTGCAGAAGCACAACTATTTGCTGCTTGTCGTTTGGGCTTTGGCAGCTAAAACATATTAAACAAACCAAATGTATCATAATCTCTCATGTATCATAATCATGTATCAAATGTATCATAATCTTCTCATCATAATCTTGAGCAAATAGGTCATAGAGAAAAGACTTTGCATAGACATTTCTATCTAGAATTACACCATTTGAAGTCATATGGCAGGCTTTATTCAGCAAAATTTCAGTGACTTTACTATTATAGTAGCCACACAGGTTGCCTAAAATACCTGTTATAGCTGGAGAAAACAGCAAATAAACAGAATATAGAGTGGAATTTCAAACTGCAGTTATAAAAGGTGTGAGGGTGAGGATGCAGTTCCTTATATAATGATTGTACTTTGCCATCGATCATAACTGGATTCATTTTTCACTTTCAGAAAATGAATGTTATCATCCAATTTGAATTTGAGAAAATGCACACTCATAGACTGCTGCGTTTCAAGAACAGATTGACTGAAATCAGCAAAGGAAAGGATTAAAACCCTCTTTCCCAACATAAAAAACCTCATAAAATGAAAAGTCTAAGCACTGCACAGCAAAAGCGCCCCAGCTTTTATTTCTGATTCACTTATTTGTCCCTAGATAGTCACTGCAAAAAAAAAATTTTCTTTCGCTCCCTACTCCATAAAAAAATAATAATAATAATAATAATTGCTTCTCTTTCTTCTCCTTGTTGTGAATTTTTGCTTGTCCCCAAGCTCAGGAGAAATAAGTTACATTTAAAAGAAAAAAAAGGAAAGGGAGAAGGGGGAAGGGAGAAGGGAGAAGGGAGGAGGGAGGAGGGAGGAGGGAGGAGGGAGAAGGGAGGAGGGAGAAGGGAGAAGGGAGAAGGGGGAAGGGGGAAGGGAGAAGAGGGAAAGGAAGGGAAGGGAAGGGAAGAGAAGGGAAGGGAAGGGAAGGGAAGGGAAGGGAAGGGAAGGGAAGGGAAGGGAAGGGAAGGGAAGGGAAGGGAAGGGAAGGGAAGGGAAGGGAAGGGAAGGGAAGGGAAGGGAAGAATTAAGCTCTACCACTGGGTTGGCAAAAAATCCAGAGTTCTTGGCAGTCATAGAGTCAGTGGAGTCAGTTGGAGCTGTTGAAACATAGTCTAATTTTGAGAGCAGCATCATAATTTTCATACAAGCTTGATGCTTCACCTAATGCATGACTCAGAAGTGATTCCAAGTAAAGAATTTGAGGGAACTAAGGAACAAATTCCAAGCCCACCTGTTGATTTTTAAATACAGATCATTGTGGAAAATTTTAAAAGGTTAAGATAAAAGAAGGGTAATTTGGAGAAACAGTGTACTTGTGCTCTCAAAATTTTTCAATTAATATCCATCTCCGTTCACATGAATGGAAAAAAAGCAACCCTGAATTTATTCACGATTTTCCCTGCTGTTCATATTTCAGTTCACAATAGGCCCAGAGGTCTTCAGTAATAAATAAATTAAAAAAAAATTAAAAACATCTTTCACGATTATTTTTCTTTTGTTGATTGTTTTTACCTTTTTCTTTCTTCATACTGACTGTAACTCAAACTGCTAAATCACACAGAGCTTGAACCATAAAAGTCAATGGCAACGTTTCCATTGACGTTATGTTTTGAAACAAGTTTTCAGCAATTTCCACTTTTAGACTGTAAATTCTACATGAATACCACAGAGTTGAGAGCGCTTAGAATTTCCCTTGTTCAGGTTTTACCTGAACATGCTGTCAACAAATATTGATCTATTAATGAGAAGTGTAATCTAATGACAACTACCTCTTACATACTGATAACCTTCATCTCCCACTGAGAAGGGTTAAAGAATTTGTGAAGCTTCTTAACCATAATGAAAGGCTGGAACCATTTCTAACATAAAAATGCATGGCACTGGGGGACATTTTCAGAATAGCTTTTGCAAATAGAAATCAAGGTCACTTCATGTTTGACACTGAGTTCTGTCTACCTTTCCAAGTATGTTGGGAAAACCTAATTAAATAACAAGTAGCCTTTTTGGTAGCAGTCAGAACTCCAGCTTTGAGTTGGAGGTAGGAAGTACATAACTGAGAAAGGGGGACAGAAATATTTTAAATGGTTTGAAATGCAACAGCAACTGCTGGATTTGAGCCAAATGGGTTTTACCCATTTTATCTGAATTGCTTTTGGCTGTTCCTAGTAACCCTGTTTTAATATGCACTTATTTTCCTGTATTACAGGACACCTAGGAACTTACATCCCTCAGAGAGCTTCGACAGCAAAGTGGTTAATGTTTGAAGAATGAATCATTCTTTCCTTTGCCATGACACTGGGTTCTTATTGTACAACCCTGTACAGTACTTAGCAATATTTTTTTAAGATTTAAAAAGCAAAGAGTTACAAAACCATTTGCAATTGACTTGAAATAGAAAAGATAGCACTTTTTAAATCCCATTATATAGTACACCGTATAAATTACAGAGTATTCAAATGCATAAATGCATCTGTTTAACATTTATCAAATGTAATTTTTTCATTGCTGTGAGGGTTACTTTCTCAGAGTTTTTTCTCTTTATCCTTTACACCCCCATCTCCCCTTACTATCACGTATGACAGTGCTCCAGGTCTGAGACATTGCTATTGCAGTATCGTATGTTATTGGGGATGTGACAGTCTGTGTAGTTAATGCCCCCATTTGGGGTATAAATGGGCTGCAGTCTGAAATCTCCTTTAAGGAGCTGATCATTATTTAAGGACACAATCTGGAAGCTGGTTTCTGTCATTTCCAGGATGGAGTTGTCCTTCTTGGTTCCTGCCTCACAGTAGTCATCTTTCCGACGACCTCGATTGTATTTCCACTTCTGGGAGGTGTAACGCCCCTTTTTGTGCATGTGCCAGCAAAAAATGCTGAGAAGGACCACGAGCACAAATATCACTGCACCCCCAATTAAACCTGCAAGCAGAAATGGGGAGCCCAGGTTCTGAGAAGTTGTCTGCTCATGGCTGGAGGGAATGTTGCCACCACTGTTCGAAAAGGAAGCCTTTGTTGTGGCTTCTGAACAGACAGTGTCTTCTCCAGTTCGGTAATTATTGTAAGCATCCAGAGGAACCAAGCAAATCCGATAGGTGGATTTGGGCTCCAGATTTACCAAGCTGAAGTGTTGTTTCTCACCACTAACTATTCGTTCCTGAACAATTCCCCCTACCAGACTATGGCCCATTTTAACCCATGTGAGTTTATATGCCATCACAGTAAAAACAGATATCCAGTTAACCTGGATGCAAGTATCATTCACAAAATGGATAGAGAGTTGAATTCGCTCAGATATAGGAGGTGTTACCCTTTCTCTGTCTTCCCTGTCAGGCACAGTGGGGAGTGCGACTATGATAGGAGTCAGAGGACTATACTTAGTACTTGGGGGAGGAACTGATGAGGAGGGAACTAATGTAGTTGGCTTAGCTGTAGCTGGAACTGGGGTGATGACAAGTGACATACCTGGGGTAGTGGTGGGGCATGACAGCATATTCATATTAAGCTCCCTGACTGCCATACCTCGGACCTGCTCTGGTCCCTGACACATAAAACCCCGTACATTGATGGAAGAGGGAATAAACTTGAGCCATTCAGTGACCCACTTAATGCTGCAGTCACATAACCAGGGATTATTCCTTACAGTGAGTTGCCTCAAGTTGTGGAGATCATCAAATACACCCTTTACCAACATACGAAGCTGATTGTTGGAAATATCAAGACGTTCCAGTTTGTGAAGGTTTGAGAAGGCTGTAAGTGGTATATGGGTTATCTGGTTGTCTTGCAAGTAGAGCCTTAGCAAATGTGTACCTGGAAGATCAGAAGGAGGATGGATCAGTGAATTACGCACTATAGAGAATTCCTTGAGCTTGGAGAGGTGGCCAAAGGTGCCTTCAGCTATGCCTTTATTAGTAAGCAGATTGCCATCCAGAATCAGACGTTCCAAACTTGTAAGATTCTGGAAGGCCAAGTCTGAAATGACAGCAATTCGATTTTCATCTACTCGAAGTTCTTGTAAGTCCACTGGAAGGCCTACTGGTACACTGCTTAAGTGATTCTTGGACAAGAACAGAAGCTTGAGGCTGATGGCTTCCCGGAATGCCCCATCCTCAACTCCAACAGTGGAGATGGAGTTGTCATCCAGGTGCAGTTCTTCCAGCTTCAAGAGCTGAGCAAGAGCAGCCCGAGAAATGGTCTGAATGTTGTTTTCCTGCAAGTGGAGAACCCTGACATTTTTGGGCAGGTTCATTGGGAACTCATCCAATTGGTTGCCATAAAGATAGACTGTGTGCACAGACTGGACATTGTGCAATTCTGCAGGAAATCCAGCATTATTTATTTGGTTATTATGGAGGTAGAGGACGGTTACACCCTCTGGTATCCCAAGAGGCACTGAGGTCAAGCTTCGCTCATTACAGTAGACAAAGTTTCGATCGCAGCGGCACACTTTTGGACAGGCCAAAGTTTTGGAGACCTGCATGTAGAGCCCCAGGGAAAAGATAAGCCATGATTTCATGAGAACAGCCCAGTCTGAGGGCCACAATCTAGTCCAGGAACCCATTTCCAATTTAAAGAAATAAAGTATCAAAGTGTTAAAGAGAGCTAATAACAATAATAAAGGACAAGTAGCAAAATCTCAGATCATTAAAACTGGCTTCAGTTTATGTCCAGTGTTCAAGCAGAGGTAAAGTCCTTCAGGCTAAGTATAAAATAATCATTTTACAGTTGGCCCAGCTCCTACTTTTGATAAGAAAGCCACAGTCCTATTAGCCAGGGTTACAAATCTTGTTGCTTTCCTCCATGTGTGCCGAAAGAAACAACAGCTGTGTTCTTGTAGTTGAGCAACCAGTTAATTTAAAGCTACCAAAAGCTGTCTGTACAAGTTGCTTGGAGTGATATTATTTCCTTTCATTGAAGTCTGTTGATGTTATGCTCAGCTTTCTGAAGTCATCAAAGTCCTCATAACAGCTATCAGCTGGATCTGGCCTGCGTGTGAAATAAAAGAAGAAAAAAAATGAATACCATGAAATGTTTCATAGGGAAGATCAAGCACTTTGGAAGACTATTCTAAGTTTCGTGCTCTTTATGGCCTTCTGTTAAAAAAAAAAAAAAGAAAGAAAGAAAGAAAAAGAAAGGCATTAATATTAAACATTAGCTTACTATTACTATTAAATGGTCTTGAAATAGATTTGGTACAAAATCACTGCAATGATTGAAAGACTTTCAGTGATTTCAGTGAAAGTTAGAACTATCACTTCTGCTTGCATATTGTATCTCCAGTCTTTGTCATCTCACAGAATTCCAAATGCTAAAACTTAAAGATTTTACTTTTTCTTGTCTTACTCTTTTTTTATTTTACAGAACTCCAGTGAGCCCTATTCATTGACACTTGACAGACTAGACTCTAGACCATACTACTTAAACATTCTCTACATTTTTTCATTTCCTATCAGAATCTGTAATGTTCTGCTTCCATTTCCATAATGCCCTTATGTATTTTCTCATACAGCTTTAATGCACATTACCAGATTATTGCACCTCACTACAGTAAATTAGTTATGTATGAGGGGAGTCTTCTGAAAAATATGGTAATCTACAAGTAGAAGATACTTTGCTGTAAGACATGTATTTGTTAAAGCTATCATCTTGATATTGTTACCTATGTAAACTGCGCTGTCAACAGACTTCAGAATTAGCACTCCACTAAATGAAACTGGCTCACATCTGCTCAGTTATTGTTTTAGGATATCAGCTCAGAAAACAACAGTTTTCCTAAAGAACACCTTTTTTGAAACCATAAAGGTTAGATACTTCCTTTAATTCTGCTACATAGCAGTTGGTGAATGGCTTAATAAATAATTTAAAAAAGTGTTAGTTCTTGTGTAGATGAGTTTATATTTTCAGCTTTTAAGAATACTTTTAACTTAAAGCTTCACAGAATGACTATTTGTCATTCATATCTCTTACTAAAAATTTCAACACTTTAAAGCATGAAAAGGAAGATACTGCATTTCATGCTATAGTAAAACATTCCTTGTCTTACTATATGTATAAATATATGTAACTATGTATAAAATTATGAAATGTAAGAGATTTATTTTATAACCCAAAATAGAGGATATAAATAAGTATTGTAGATCTCAGTGTTTTTCATTTCAATTACCTGAACAAAATAATTTCCCAGATTTTTTGATCAAACTCAAAGTTCATTCGCTGTGATTTAAGTTGAACAGAAATCATCTTTAAAATTTATTTTTCCTTTATTTAAACAGACTAAGCATCATCCATTTTTTTTCAGTAGTGCCAGAAATGTCATTCAGGAGTACACAAAAGCTTGTGTTTTTGTTACAGTTGTACAGTTTATAACATATCCCAAATACTACATGGGACTGTAAGTGCAAAAAATCTCTTTTGGAGTCAAAATCTTATAGCCATGCAATCTTGCATTGGTAGATTACTGTACTTATTTGGAATGTCATTAGATATCATCCTCATGTCTGGAACAGATGAAGATAAAAACTGAGGCCCTGAAAAGTCCTCTACTTCACCATTATGTTTATGTCTAGTAAATGTACCATAATGCAGACCTTTTCTTGAAATGGTAAGATTATCTACACCACTATTCAAAGATTTATCTCTCACAGGCATATTTTGGTGAATCACAGAATCACAGAATTGTAAGGGTTGGAAGGGACCTCCAGAGATCATCGAGTCCAACTCCCCTGCAAAAGCAGGTTCCCTACTGAAGAGTGTTTTCTTTTTTTTTAGTGGAGAGTATTTTCTTTTCAATCACATAAGAATTTCTGATTCTGTAGCAGGATTGCATCCTAATATGATCCTAGGTGTGACAGTTTATCTGTCTCTAATCTGTCCTGTCTCTAATCTAGCTCTGATCTGTCCTGACATTGTCTTTCCAAAATAAGAATGTGCAGAAGAGCCTCCTCTGAGATGCGTGGGACTGCGCAGAATAATAATGGTTCTCACTCCCTTTCTGTCATCAGAGACAATTTGCACCTCCCACAAAAATCAATACATTATATTTAGTTCTGTTTTGATCACAAATATGATTGTTGAATAAGCTTTTCTGACACTCAGCTATGATAGGAATCCAAGTTGAGGACATGCAGCCACAGTCAGCTGCAGCTCCTGATACACTGGGGATCTCCTGAGGTGAGAATATTGTATTAATATGTGCCTATACATTCACCTTACTCTAGGACTCTGCCTAAAGGGCCTCTCTGCTTGGTAAATGGGGCTTCTAAATAAAAGATTTCAGTAAAAATTTTAGTAAATTGGGTCAAATCATGCAGTGCTTCCCATCATATATTAAAAGAATTTTGACTGGATGGTCACTTAACAACAGCAACACTTTGGAAGGTGACTTGGAATTCCCCTCCTTTTTATGGTTACAGTGATTTTGCTCTCAGAAATCTTTTAAAACTTTTCTGCTTCCCTTACACTACTGTTGCTGGTTGACTACACAACTGGTGTTGGGATTTGGACTAGATGACCTCTAAAGAGTCCCTTCCAACATTAGGAATTCTATGATTCTATGATCTGTGTGACAGTCAGCTGAACATGACCAGCAGTGTGTCCAAATTGGCCAAGAAGGCCAATGGCATCCTAACATGTATCAGAAATAGTGTAGCAAGCAGGACCAGCAGGGCCAGGGAGGTAATCATCCCCCTGTACTCACCAGTACCTCAAGTAGTGTGTTCAGTTTTGGGTTCCTCACCACGAGAAATACGTGGATATTGATGGTAGGTGACTGGATTACATGATCTTAGTGGTCTTTTCCAACCTCAATGATTCTATAATTCTGTGAAAAGGAGTCCTTTTATTAATGCCAGTATCCCAAATTCCAACTAGCATACTGGTAACTACTATGCTGAGACATTAAAACTCACAGTACAGAAAATGCGTAGTCACTCAGGCAGCTGCTGTTCATTGTGCAAGAGCACAAGGACAAATCTATTAAGATATTTATGACTTCAGAGTTGACTGTGGTGTAACAGAGGGAAGCAGTAAGGAAGAAAATACACAAGTGAATGTGTTTAAATAAATTATTTTGGAAAGACTTTCCCTCAGTATTCTTCTATAACTATTTAATAATAATTCATAGTGGTTGTAACAGTTGCAAGAGCAGAATATTTCAGCTGATCTCAAGAATCCAAATGCAAATTGAGTTATGTCCCTGAATTAGAATTTTCCATCCCAAAGATGTAAAAAAAAGATTTGAGCAACATTCTTGATTTGAAAATGAAATTCCTGGAAGGAAAAACATCATAGGTAAATTCCAGAAGGCTGGAAAAGTTGTCTTTAGGTAATTATCAACACTGAGAGTAGATAAAATAATTGTGCTTTCTCCCCATCTCTGTAATGTTGGCTTTCTGAAGCAAAATCTATATTTTTAGTATTCTTAGAAGATCTTAACTGAGTCTGTCCATAAATGAATTGGTTATTTGCAGAGGCAGAGTTAGGGAAGTAGATAAATTAAAGTCAGAAACTGTAAATTGTTAGTAGCCTGTTTAGTGTGAAGACAGCAAATTCTAAAAATCAAGGTGGGAAGAGAAGATAAGGGTAAAAGAATATATTGCGGTTAACATCTTATTTTTTTTTAAATCAACAAGCAGTAATAAGACATCTGCTCATCATTATCTTGATTTTTTTTTCCCATTTCTTTATCATTTACACTCAATGTCTATTATTTCCCACTGCATCCTCCTTGGAGCACAAGACACGTCTTCAAAGTTTCTAGGACATTTCCCGTCTTACTGCAACCAGGATATTAAATCCTGTCAGGATTTAAGGAAGGAAGTATAGAAGTTGAGTGAGGCATACTGAAATAGATTAGAGCATACATACTCATTTTAGGTGGCCATGCCTGAAAATTTGGCTTAATGGCTTGAGTACCTGACATCAATGAAAATGTTCCTTTTTACATCTTAGAAGTTTTTGAGGAATGTTTTTATCTCACTGTCTTCTCAAACCAGCTTTATTTTAATTTTCTCTTGGCATAATTAATATCTACCTTTGAGTGTTGGATAAAAATTTCAAATTTGATTTTTTCAAGACTAAAACTGAACTGCTGCTTTCACATACTTTGATTAAATTTATAAAAAGGCTGAAACATCTGGCTGGAAGCTGTAATGATGAAGGTTTTTTAAGTCTCCCCTTTACTGCTGAGGAGCATCCAGATGATTTCAAGCTTCAGTCATACTGCTTTGCATAGGCTATGCAATTTAGCTTCCATAAATATTTGTGTTTCAATAATTAAAATATATTACTGAAAATGCTACCAAGTTACAAACTCGTAATATGTAGGAATAAAACCTAACATCTCACTAGCAGGTATTTTATAGATGTCTTTCCTGTGTTGCTCACCAGCATTACTTCAATGGCTGGGTCTAAAGTGTCCAAAAAATCTTCCAAATGGCCAAAAGGCAACTTTCACCAGTTTTCATGCTGCAGACCTCCAAGCATGCAGTCCCAGATGCAGTAGTCAAACCTCTGTGGCTGCCTCAGAACCTTCTGAGGTTCAGGGAGGAGTAAACAAGTAAACGGGAATCAAGGAGAAAGAATAGCTTGTGGAATACAATCTGCATATATATATATATTTACAGTCCTGTGTTACAAGCACAGGAGTCTTGCTGTGTTCCTGAAATGAGGTAGCCTGCATGTCGTACAGAAAGGCTACTAATTTTTTAGAAGGAGTAAAAAAATAACAGTGTTAACTACTCCATCCTTCAAGGAATCCTAAAAATAAAAGCAGTTGCTGGGGACCTGGATATTTTTTTTTATAATCTAACCACATAGGATTGTTTTTCCTAGCAGCTTATCCATTTATCTGAACCTGAATGCTATAAACTGAAAGAAAGGAAGAAAGAAAGAAAGAAAGAAAAAAAAAAAAAAAAAAAAAAAAAAAAGCTAAACTTGAATGTCAAAAATTAACATAAATTAAAAACAAAGCAAAACCAAAACCAGAT